ATACCCCGGTGGGCATGTCGCGGTATGCCGCGAAATACCTCACCCATTTTGAATGGCTGCATCTGTATCTGTGTCTGACATACAGGAATGTTTATAAGGACCTGCGGCAGATTGAACTCGCCTGCGACTCCCAGGAGGATGTGGACAGCTGGAAAGCTTCTTTTTTGAGAGCAGGGGTCTATCCAGAGAAAGACCAAGTAAGTAGGACTCTACAATAAATCATGTGTATAACCCCCCCTAAATTTTAAAGGGGACACTTCGGAGTAGGCGTTATTGTTTTGTGCAGACCATTTTATTTTGCTTTATACCCCTACCCCTGGAACTCTTAGGGGTGCATATGTAAGTCAGGCCACCCAAACACAGATTCATTTAATTCAGTCCCTTGACATTTGGGGAACAGAAAGTCTGGCTTGTTTGTATTTTAAATCTCATACAGTATTTAAAAAGATGAAGCAGTAGCAATAATACCAATTATGCTGTTGATGTAAGCATTTGAAGCTGTATGTTGCAGGACTAGAACTATTATTAAAATTTAAAGTTATGTTAAACCCAGTGGACATACTAAAACGGGACAGGAGATCTCCAAACCTTTACAGCTATGTGGCAGCGATCATTCCTATTCAGGCTTTAAATACACACTTTTATGCTAGCATTTTGGAGCAGTTGATAGGCTCTAGACTTGTAACTGGAAGCTTGAGGGGCAAGGCCCTGTTTTTATATTTTATACTCTTGAAGAAGCTACTTTACCCAGATTACCCAGCTGGTCAAGTGCCCAACTTTATAAATGTAAGCATAGGTGCATCACTTTGGACAAACAACTCAAGCATATTAATATTAGTAAGAAGAAATTCTTAATATAAGTCTATTATTTTCATAGGTTTATTATTTTGCAACAAGGATTATAAGGACTTATTTCAGTGCCAATGTACGCCAACAGTGTTTAGAATGTTTTACAGAGTATAACAAATCAAAGTAAAGATAGAGATAAAAAACATGGTGAAAAAGCAGACACTAAAAACCTGCCTAAACAGACGCATCTTTTGTCAAAATTTAAAAACTGTAAAACAGTTTACATTTCTCAGATTGACAGAAAGTGAATTCACAGTTCCATTATATTGTAAGGTTTCATGCCTTAAACCCAGGAGACATATTCTTCATAGGCTTCATCTAAACTGTTTCAGCTTGTTTATTTGGCACAGGCTGGTGGCAAAACCTCATTTGAGAGCACATGCAAGCAAAGCAGAAAGAGGCTGTAAATGATAGTCTGTACTATAACCTCTTTATCGTGCCCATTTTAAGTGACCACTGCACAACTCTTTTCTGTTGCTTCTTTATTACAGATGCACTTGTAGTTCTTCATACACTCATTCTGTAGAAATCCATTAAAACCTGCAGGATATTGCAGTACATGATATATAATGACACACAGGTAAGTGTGATGTAAGCATTGACCTTTGAACCTTTCTGAGCCATTTAACCTGTGTGTCTGGTACAGGCAGAGAACGAGGAGGCAGGCCCGGCCGACACTTTCTCCATGGACCCCCAACTGGAGAGACAGGTGGAGACTATCCGCAACCTGGTGGACTCCTACATCGGCATCGTCAATAAGTCCATCAGAGACCTCATGCCAAAGACCATCATGCACTTGATGATCAACAATGTAAGTGTCCTTTTTTGGTTTTACCTCTCCTGATTGGCATGAATTGAATCAGGTAGCAAATCTTACAAATTCGTAAAGAGTGAAAGAGATTTCACTAAAATGCATGCCAAGTCCCTCTAAATAATTATATATAATTAGTGTTCTAACAATTTGTCAGTTCCCATTATCCTTTCCCCAAAACAATGAATAACTCATCTCCAGTCACAGAACACTGTGCTGCTTATTTCTGGACTTCAAAGCACATGGACAAATTTGCGTGTTCCCTGAAATTGTTACAGATTCTACCCCTGGTATCGTCTGTATGGATTGACTTGTAATTGTATTTTATACAGAGCTGATCATCCCCAAAGGTTCCTAAAGCACCTTACAAACAGCAGGGATTCCACTTTGCTAAATCTGAGTAGCACACAGCCCTGGGCACCATGATGCATCCTTTCCCCACCATGACTACATCATCTCATTATGGGGAAAGGGGAGATATTACATCACCAATTGAATTAAGAGACAACTGTGTGTATATTAAATAGTACAGGCCCAGAGTGGATTGGGGTGCCCAGAGTAGCCCAAGGATTGCAGTTAACTTCTACTCTTAGGAACAGAACCCTGCCATCTTTAAAGGCCAAGTAGCCAGGACCTTAGTTTAACATCTCATCAAAAAGCACAGCACCTCCAGGTCCCCAGTCACGGCTGTAGCATTAGTCTAAAAATTCTGGTCTGAAGGGAAAAGCGCCACCTACTGGTCCACCTAAACCTCTTGCGCAGTAATCTGGTGTTGGTTTAGATGTCTGCTATTGCGGTACTGACCAGATCCAGCTTTGCTCAGCTTCCAAGTTCTGAGCAGCCCAGACGGTGGCAGCTGTTGTAACAGGCTCTTCTCTTTTTTTCCTCCCTACGTGTCTAGGCAAAGGAGTTCATCCACTCAGAGCTGCTGGCCTACCTGTACTCTTCTGGGGACCAAAACAGTTTGATGGAGGAGTCTGCAGACCAGGCGCAGCGGCGTGACGAGATGCTGCGCATGTACCACGCCCTGAAGGAAGCGCTCAGCATCATCGGGGACATCAGCACCACCACCGTCTCCGTGCCCGTGCCCCCTCCTGTAGACGATGGGTGGATGCAGAAGGAGACCAGGTCAGCATGGCAGTGTCATAATGAAGAGCAGTCTGAGGCTTGCTCTGACTGGTCAGATTGAACAGACGTCAAGACTTTTGACATAAAGTAATAGCTCTGAAAAGGAAAATAATTCACTCCTGTATAATGGCTGGTCAAAGGGAAAAACTTGTATTATAACAAGTATGTAGTTTTATGCAGTAATAGGCTGGTAGCTGGCAAAGTCTTAAACCATAAGCCCCCTTTTAATATTTTAACACAGGATTTTAAGATACACTAGTTTTCTGCTTATGTAAAAATTTTAATGTCTTTGTTTTCCAGTCCTACCCCTCAGCGGAGGCCGAACAGCTCGGCCCCCCCACCCAGCCGTCCCCCGGCTGTCAGGGGCCCAACGCCAGGGCCACCCCTCAACCCCACCCCGGCTTTTGGGGCACCCCCTATCCCCTCACGACCTGGCCCCCCCCAGCCAACCTACGGCTTGGGGAACCAGGATCCGTTCAGTGCCCCCCCGCAGATCCCCTCTCGGCCCACCAGAGTGCCCCCTGGCGTCCCCCCTGGTATTCCCAGGTAAGACTAAAATCTGTCAGCTGGCCAGCGAGAGAGCTGTCCCAGCAGACACCCAGATGTGTGGAGCGAGGAACCCTGTGCTTGTAGCTCTTGTGTTAGGTGATGTGTCCTAACTCCAGTTCAGAGATGATCTCTTGTACCTAGAACACCTGAGAGGCTGTTATCTGATCCGACCAGAACACATTAGCTGGGCATAACTGGGCCCAGCCTGGTACTGTAATGGTAGTTGCTGGTTTCAATGCTCAACTTAAGTCTCGCCACAGAGTCATCAGAACCAATTGTTATCATATCTATTTGATTTGGAGCTGAAAATAATTGGCCCCTTTCCTCTTTAATTTAATTCTTCCCCAAAGTGCTGATTTAATCAAGTCATCCCAAAATTGGATCACTTAATTCACACCGCAGCCTTATAGTATGAGCAAGATTTAACTTAATAGCCCTTCAGATTCTTGGGGAAATTGTTGTGTATTTTTGAATTTTATGAATGCTTTATTTTTAATGCTAGCTTTATTGCTAGGATGTATGTCATCGGGTGTCCGTGTTTGTTAACCATTTGTCTCCAGTGTTGATGTCAGTCTGTTTCTGCATTTGTGCATGTAGGAGGATAGGATTTTGTGCTGATGCTGCGTTCGCTGAAACATACAGCGACTAGGAGATTAAACAGGTTGTTATTATTGTGTATATCCAAGGCAACTTCATATTAATCAGTTCCTTCCAAAACAAAAGGTTTTAAGAAAACAGTAATAAGAATCTATCCAAATTATTTAAAGTTTAACTGTCTACAGTGAATAACAGTAGGGCAGTTACTAAAATATCTAGATGTTAATTTATTGGGAAGATTGGTTAAATTTAAGTCACTGGCAGAGTAAATTTAACTCATTTTGTCAAGCTAAAGCATTTCCCATAGTAACTGAAAATGTTCTGAAAGGCGTATTAGTCTGAAAACCAACCTTGAGTGACGTGAGGCATTTTGTCTGTAAATGTCAAGATTAAAAGAGCTGCTAAAACGCACAGCATACCAGCACCTTCGCTAATGTTTTCACAGACTAATTTTCGACCACATAATGTTATATCAGCTCAAGTGTATAGGCAATATTAGCCTGTAGAACCAGCTCGTCGATTTGTTCTCCTGCCGAGAGACATCACACATAATGGGAAAGCCCCGGTTCTGTTTGCAGTTATAGATGTAAGTGTGTTAGAGCCATAGTTAGGATTGTGCATTTCTGTGGAGAATCTGCTTGTGTCGTGCACCTTCATCTACATTCTTGTGTGTCTTCTCCCTTGTCTTGATCTGCGTGTTTTGCTCAATGCTGGGTTTTATTTTCCTGGCTGTGTGAGGTTAATAGTGGCCAGATTGTGTCCGTGTGCATCTGGCTGGGCCTCTCCTGCACCCACCACTGCCCGGCTCCTGTGCGTCTGTGCTAGCGGTGTGCTCATGGTCTCGTGGCGGGAGTGTGGCTTGTCGCTTGCTCACCCCGCTCTCTCACTCTTATCTCCCTGCAGCCGAAGACCCCCAGCGGCTCCCAACAGACCTACCATAATCCGCCCGGCGGAGCCCTCTTTACTAGACTAGACACTGGGAGACGCAAAGTGGGCCTGTGTACTAGTGTGGCGTCGCCACCGGTGGTGGTAGAGGAAGGAGGAGGGGGTGGGGGGGGGGCCAAGCGCTCATAGAGGCCACAGGCTAGGACACTGACCTGCCACTGCAGACTTGAACCGCACACTGCCTGTCGAGGAGGAAACAGTCATCAGTCAGGCTTTTCGGACCTGGGATCCAGAACAGATGCATTGCTGGTTGATTATGCAACAGATTTTTTCTTTTAGCTGAGACCCTAATTGCCTCTACACTTCAGATTGCTTGCTATTGCATGGATGAGCCTGCTTGATTTAAAAATAAAAATCATATCCATTTCTGAGATTACATCAACTTTCTGTCATCTTTTAATAGAGTAGGATAGACCAAGGGAGGACTGGTCTGCCCCCCTTTGAAGTCGCTATTGTAATCTGAGTGTTGGCCATCAGGGGGCCTCCTAGACTAGGGGAAATGTGATGCAGCTACAGCCAGGGAGTGTGGAAAAGCCCACCCTGACTCTAGGTGGAGTGCTGGACCTGTTCGGCAGGTAGGCAGGAGTCATCATTCTCCTGCAGACCCTGGACATGTCCAGTCTCCCTCGCTGATCAACTGCAAAACCCACTTTGCTGTGCTGAGGAGAAAGGATACCTTCAAAACCAGCAGCCTTTTCAAACCATCTTCCTTGTTTACCCATATGTGTGCATGGAAGCTCTCTTTATTAAATGGCTTGTTCTCCTAAACAGGCAATGTGTCTGTCAGTCCCTAGAGGGATCTTAGAATTAATCATTGCTCTGTGGCCTCCCCTCTCTCACAATACTCCCACCCACCACCTCCCAGATCGATTGGATCTCCTCTGTCAATACACAAAAACACTTCAGCCAGTTGATCCTTTGTGTTTTTTGGGGGTTTTCAAATCTCATCAAATGAAAAAAGTTATAATATTAATGTTTTCTTGAATTGCAACAAATGTGTACTATTAATTTTTTCAGTGTATCTAGCTTTAAGGAATTTCTAATAAAAGCAAAGCAGAGACAAATTAATGTCAAACTGAAAGGTTATGGGGATAATCGTAGTGTGATGAGAGCTGTGTGTGTGTTGGGGGGCGGGGGGGGAGTGGTGGTTCATTGTAAAGTGGCAGTAATGGAAATAGACCTAGCCTCTCCCTTTGAACTGGATTGGTGCATTCTGTGGGAGTGTCTTCTCTTCTGCTAATCTGATTGGCCCTCATGAAGGGAATTAATCATTTTTCCACCTGTCTGATTGGCCAGCATCTGAGTCTTGCCCAATCAAGACCCCTTTAAACAGCATTGACTGTACACTTCTGGAAAATTTCTCTTTTTACACCGAGCAGCCCTGATTGGACAGCCATTCCTAATCATTTAAAATGTCTTATGTAACACATTTGTAGTTTCCAAGGGCCTTTCCTTAAAAGATGGTACAAAGAATATCACAATTTTATCTGCCAGAAGTACTGGAATCAAATTGTTTATGTCCCCCTCAGGATTTAAACTCTTCTTTTTAAAAGGTCCTTTCACCCTGCAAGTTTGCCAGCAACAGCAAGCTACGAGTGAGTTGAAAATAATAAAGATGAAGTCTTTTGTCTTAATTGCACTTAAAACTTGCAGTGTTTCTTTTGGGATGCACAAGTTCATAAACCTGTGAGAAATTGCCTGTAAGCTTCTTAGAACACCTGTGTATGTATTTAGATAGGCACATCCCTAGCTATAAATATTATTTTTCTAATCATGAAAACAGAAGTAAAAATGTTACAAATCAGAGAACTTGAAGAAATTCACAAGACATTTTAAGTAAGATTTCTGATGGAATTACAGCTGGTTGAACAAGTTATGAGATCTGAAAAATAAGACCACATTTTTGAATACCTTTTCTCAAGCTGATTTTTAAATCTTGTGCCTTTTTAATGGATAGGTTAAACATGAAAAATTAAATCTAACTTAGCATTTTGTAAACAAATAAGACTTCACATTCTTAAACAGTTGCCATTTATAATGACACTGAATTGTAACTTGGTTCAGAGTCTCTAGTTGTTCAAAGGAAACTAGCAAGCCTAAGTAAACGAGTAAGCCTAACACTGTGGCTTGACATAATATAGACAGCAGTTTCTTTCCACCTCTGAGACAAAAGAAAGCACTCCAGTAGTAATAAATGCTTTTTTTATAACTAATCTGTGTGGAAAAAGGTGTATATATTTTTGATGATTTTGACGTAATCTTCCCTACTATCTATGCAATAGTAATAGAAATTATGCTTTTTTGTCTCAGATAATCGTGCTTTATAATGATGATTATCGATCTGATAATCACATAAGCCTTAACATGTAGTTACCGATCACTCCAGGTCAGAGCTATTTTTAAGTGTTTGTTCATAATGCTCCTACACTGTAACTCAAATGTGGTATTTTAGTTTTTTTATCAGATTTTTTAGGATTAAAACTGAAATCCTTTGGCTTGATAGTTACAGATATGAGTCTTGCATGTCTTGCCCTTCAGTTTTAGCCATGCACCTCCCAGGTGTGGAGTAGAACTGCAGGCAATTGCCCAGGTTAGGCAGGGACAGAGTGAGCTTGTTTTGCTGCCCATTTGCAACCCCAGTTCACTGAAGCAAAGTGGGTAGCAAAGTGAATTGAAAAAGTAATTATCTGAGATCATTAAGACAAGATCTCTAGATGTGCAATTATGATAACGTGTTATAAACGGATTTTTCAGTTGTGTCGTTGTCAGGATTGCTGTCTCTGTAAATTGGAAAAATTGTCCTTTCTGAAAGCAAACTAAAGCTGGGCACGGGGAAAAGATCAAAGACTCCTCTCATGTTTGCAGCAAACAAGAATGGTGAGCTTATATTGATTATTGCCCGCTAGTAAATTTATGGCTTTGTACTGTTGGATCTCTGCCTACAAAGCACTTTCATAAAAAGAGGACAGACAAGACATTGGCTTTGAATTTGGTGAAAATCAGAAAGACATTTTGAATACCATTTTGATTTTTTCCCTGGAGATTTCAAATGAACACCCCCAGAAGTTCAGTCAGTTCTGCTGTTTTTTAGAGTAAAGAGGAGACTTTTAAAAAAGAAAAACTAAATAAAAGAATCTTGGACAGAAGAATTACTTTAAAAAGACTAACCCATTTATTATTAGAGCCTGGAATGTATTAAATACCATATTGTATCAGTTATGATCATTTATAACCAGGGTAATTTTTGTAATTTTCTATTGGTTTTCATTTCCACTCAGACAGATCTCTTTGCAGCACTATTTTTTTTTTACTTTGGGGGGGTGCAGTCTTATAGTTCCATTCAAAACACTTTCAAAGTAGTAGGAAACTTAACGAGTGCCCAGTGCTCAGCTGTTTTCTCCTGTGGTTCAAGAGAGAGCCTTTAAAGAGGGAGTCAGCAAGACTTACCCTAAACCTTGCCCTGTTTGTTTTATATAACCGTAAGAAGTATCTACTTCTGCGTTAAAAAGGAAGAAGAGATCAGCTGAACTGTTCGTAGCTTTCCAAAGGAAAGGGGCATTTTTTATCAGTTCTTTGTAATTTCCTTCTTTCTTCAACTATACTAAGGAAACTGATAAGACACCCATTGCACAGAAGTTTGATCTATTTCAGGTTTTGTGAGCAGCGGGCAAACTATTCTGTAAACCAACATCAGGTGCTGGATTTTTTTAGGCTGTTGCCTTATCTGAACTAACTTTGCCTAGGCAGATGTGTAAAAGCAAAACAAAATGTGTATATACTGCTTTTCTGCTTTATCAGCACAGTTTGTACAGGATTCTGAAATGAGTCAAACCCCCTATGTAAATGTGAAGGGTATTTGTTTCCTCTTGTACTGAAATGGGGTTCTAGGTCCCAGTTATCATTGCACATCTGCTGTCCTACAAGGCTGTGGTCCATGCTCTAGGTGTATTCCCTGTGGGAAGTAACAGAATTGATCGGTTAGTGATGTCCCATCAAAATCCCAAGAAAGGGGGTTTAAGAGATGCTGATCTCACTAATGCCCAGAGTGCAGTCAGGAATCAAGTTGCCAGATTCAGCCATGGGAGATTTTTTTTTTTTGCTTATGTATTCCTGCTGCAATGAGAGATGAGCAAAGACAGGCAGGGCTGTCTGGAGATCCCATCCCCCCAGTTCCTTTGGGGGTGATCTTTTAAAATCAACCTAGACTGGGCTGCCTCTGGTGCATGCAAAATGACACTTCAATACTGTTTTACATTCTGGCTACTTTTGATCTACCTCCTTCAGCTCTGCATGAGTTTTTAGGTCCAGTAGTCCAATCTTAAGTGCTGGTTAAACAGAGCCTTTGAGGACAGCAAGTGTCAGAAACTCACCTTGTGTCAGAAAAAAATGATCTGGCTACGGCAGACATGCAGTTTTAAACTTGAGCACAGTAGACGTTTTATATGGTCTAGGGAAGAAAGCAGCACTGATGTTTTGGGAGGGAGGTGGAGTAGATGAGCTCTAACAGGTCACAAATTACTGCTGAGGATTAGATTTACCTTTAGGCTTGGTCAACAGATGTCTCACTGCTGCTGCTTCTTTGAACCTTTTTAAAGAAGTGTTTGCAAACAAGACTTTTGCAGGATGGTCATTAAAGGGCCTAAAAGGTTTCACGTTCCAGGCAATACAGAAATGCTACTGGGACATTTTAGGGCTGGAAGAGCTGATGTCAGCTGCTGCTCGGGTCGCTGTAGCCAGATCCAGCCCACAATTCTCACACCACGTCCGTTGTCTGTCCTGTGTTGGGAACCAACCCTCCTGTCCTCCCTCAGCATCACCATGTGTTCATGATTGAAGAACTCCACAAGTGTTTTTATTCAAAACAAAAACTTGTAAGTGCCTCTGTAGCGATTAATAAAAAAAAAAGTATATAATAAAGGGAATCTCTATGGTGGCTGGTGTCTATTCTTTGTGCTCCACTGTTGTGGTTCTCCCTCACTTCCACTGTGTGTGTTCTTGTGTTCAATCAGTTTCCTAGCTCACAAAACAACCACCTATCATCTTGGATGTCCCCATTGTGTGCACAGCTTTGACACTCCAAATAAATCATTTTAAAATCCCCCCCATTTGGCTATACACCTTTCTCTGTGCACGGCGGTTGTTTTGTGACTTCCCTTGATGTTCACACGTGTGTTGCTCATTTCCTTGGGTGTAGTCTCTCTAAGAATTCTGTGATGGCTCATGTTACATTTTGTCCCTTCTCCCAAAACAAAAAAAACAATCATCTGGTTTTTTTTTCAGTTTCCAATTTTAAATTCCTTAACCCACTTCAAACATGTACCTAGACAAGAAATTTCAGGTTGATGAACCTGACTTCTGTGCATCTTAAGCAAATTTTAATGTATTTTCTGGGATTCACAGTCATCCTATATTGTAGATCCTAGAAGACTGAGCTAAATTCCATCCATCTCTTATCTGGTGTTCTGCAGGGCTGAGGTTTGAGGTTATTTTTCTCAGTTGTCTTATTAGTGCCTCCACCTTCAGTCCTGCAGCAGGTTATACAAGTTACTCTAAAGCAGCTCAACTTTGAGCTCTGGTCTTGAGCACCAATCCTGTTAGTCTTCTGCGTTACCCGTTTCAAAGATTGGCAACTCCTGGTATTGATGAGCCAAGCAAGTAATCTGTTCAGTCAAGAGAGCTTTGGTCTTTGAGTGGAGTGCTTGAAGGGTTCTTAGGTTTTTGTCCTAGGTGGTCTCTAAATTATCAAATATCCTGGTTAATTGATTGCAATGGAATTGTCCCGTATCTTTATAAATTGATTTAATAACCCACAGCTCCTGCTGGGTGGAGATTTCCCAGGTTTAGAAAGGAAGACCCCAGTTCTAAAGTTTGGGTTTTTTTAAAAGCATGATCACTTTGTCGAATTCCAAGTGCCCATCAGTGGTCACTTACTTAAGTAAGTCTCCAAGTGACCATTGAAATCTTTATAGGAAAAAAATAATCTCTGTCCTGTCAAACTGAAATGGGTTCAAGTTCTAAAAACTGGATCATTTTTATTTTAAGCTTTGTGGATGAAGATCTGTTAACTTGCACGTTGGTTGCCATCTCAGAATTCTTACAGGTATTTAAGGTTTTAGTCTAGCACTACTGGCTCCTGGAAAGCTCAGATCTGAAAAGGTTACAGCTCTGCTTAAGTCTATAATTACTAAATTGAAACAGTTGAAATTGGCAATACAGGAAAATGACTGCCTTCTTGCTTTCCAGAGGGATTTAAGCTGCAATCTTTTCTTCTCCGTATGAACGAAGCATTTGGTTGAGTAGGGGTATAGGCAATAAACAGATCTTGAGAGAGAGGTTAGAGTGGTCTTGATAGACTGATACAATGCTGTTGCTGATTGGGCAGCAGCAGCTTCTCCAGCAATTGTGGGAAAAAGATGGACTAGCCAAGAAGGAATTATGCTGCTCTAGCTTCTGTTGTGTGTCCTAATTAAGAACAGCCACAAATGAGAGTAGGTCCTTCAGCCCATCTAGCCAATATATTTATGTTTATAATCCATTGTAATGCCCCAATACAAATGGGAATCATGCCAAAGATTCTATTTTAGAAAAGATAAAAATTAAGCTTTTCCTGCTGGATTCTTTTTCAAATCCGTAAGTATTGGTGACAAACTCGGGAATCCCAGAAGGCAGGCCTCCTCCATCCTACTCCTGTTTGCCAGTATTGACTCAAGCAAAAATGGGTTCTGACGTCACATTTGTCAGCTGCTACAGTATATGGTGCAGATTTTTAGTCCTGTTCTTCCGTATCGCGGTTACCGAGGGGTACTCCTGTCTCCCCAGATGACACTTTTATTTTTAAGATAAACGTGAGATAAAAAACGTTTGTTTGAAACCGCGCCACAAATTTTCTTACATGCATGTATTCTCCAATATCACCACAACAAAACCATAAAGTTTGTTTCCACAGACATGAGACTATTATGCAATAAACCAATAAATTAATGAACTAGCAGAATCCCAATAAAAACACCCGGCCACCCGGACAGCACAGCATGTCAATATCGTACATTTTACCAACAAAACCGCAAAAGCAAAACCCAGCAAATATATATATTTCATGTTTTTACCTTATTCTGGAGCATGATATATATCCAAAATAACCCAGACTAGTTTATCTCAAGAGCTAGAGACTAGTAAACGTTATTGATTACGTAGTAAATGTTTGAAGAACGACCGCTAGAAATAAGGCGATTTGATTGGTAAAAACCGCTGTCATTCATTGTATTTTCAGCCATTAAGAGCCCTTAGGGGGTGAGACTTCCTCTAGAAGCTTCAGGCTGCATTTTTAGCTGTCAATCATGGACTCAGAAGGGGTAATCAATCAGCACTTATCAGTGCACCATTTTTTCCACACCAGAAGGTAACTCTGAGGTTTATTTTCATTGCATAACAGCAGATAAAGGCTCTCTAGCAGTGTCTAAAGGTTTTTATAGCAATTGCAATGGTTATTATTCTTATTTTCAATATTTTCATGATTTTTTATTAATTTATTAATTTCATTCCAGGTCCAGTCCTCACAAAACATGATGTAGAATTTTTTCTAATTGATCAATTTGTCCCAGATTTTTATCCAAGCTAAGTCACCTAGAACAAGGTTTTCAAATCATTCCCAGGCCCTTGACATGCATATAGTTGAAAAATCTGACCTCTGAAGACCCAAAAAACATGTTTGCCAGCTGTTTTTTGGGTTTTTTTTTCATATGTTTGTCTGCTGAGTGGACACATTAAGAAATATAAGAAATTTGACTATTCACACTCAAAGCCAAGGGGGTTAGCTTCAATTTAAGACCTGAACCAGGCTCCTGCTATGTTCTGCTGCAGAGATACAACAAATGTTTAAGGGGGAGGAAATTCCAGGCGGAAATTGTCTAAATATGTCAATAGGTTAATTCCATTCTGAAAAAAAAGAAGAAAGAGAACACAACGTTTCGGCCGTGGAGCCTTCTTCAGGTGTGAAGACACACACCTGAAGAAGGCTCCACGGCCGAAACGTGTTCTCTTTCTTCTTTTTTTCAGCACTTGTTCCTTTGCAGCCTACGCATGCTGACGCAGCTACCCACCTAAATATGTCAATGTTGTTAAGTGGATAAGAAAAAGTTTGAAATCTCCAACAAATTCAAGCTGGGAAACAAAATATTTCCAATTAATTTATTAGTTTCCTACATTTTTCAAGACACATGTATAGATCATCTGTTGCATGATACAGGAGTGGGAAAACCAGACGTTCACATGAGTTACCATTGTGTCTATGCCTGGTCTCGGAGGTCTGGTGTATCTGCAGGTTTTCTATGTCCCTTGAAAGCATCATTTCATAAGGAGCTGGGAGATAAATTGGAGCAAACAGGGCAGTAATAACTGGTTTACTTCATAAAGAACTGAGTTGCAATGAAACCCTGCACTCGTACCAATCCACAGAGACCAGAAAAACCCTTTTCTGCCAGAAGAAATGCAGAAACATCTAGCTTCACAAACCTCTGTACATGCACTCTGATCTCTCTATAAGATCTTGTTTCAGATACTTTGTGTCCATCCATCAATTTTCTTCCAATTCAGTGTCACAGAGGAGCTGGCGCCTATCCCAGCAAGCAATGGGGGGCAAACCAGGGTCCACCCTGAACAGGACGCCAGTCCATCACAAGGCACATAGACACACACACACATGCTCACTTCAAGGCCAGTTTTCCCAGAAGCCAATTAACCTACCTAAATGTCTCTGGTGTGTGGGAGGAAACCCACAAAACAACAGGGAGAATCTACAAACCACACAGATGGCACCCCAGGCCTGGAATTGAACCCAGGGCCCCAGTGCTGCAAGGCAGTAATGCTAACCACTGGTCTGCCCATAAAATATGTCTAAAATGTTCAAATTTGGCAGTTTTACATGATGTGCTGAACCCTCAGACTTGGTTTTCTGCAGTACAGTGAGTGAGGGTCACTCTCCACATTATTCATATGTTACTGTCATCTTATCAAAAACTGATTTCCACATTGAATTGGAATTTGTTGCTACTGACTCACATTATGTAAAGGTAAGAGAAAAATGTCACCCCCCTCTTGGCAGCTCAATAATTTCTTTTTACAGTACTCTTGTGTACTTGTTACAGTACACAGAAATTCACAGTCATACACATAAAGATGTCAGAAGACTACAAATGAGAAAACAATAAAACATTTTGTATACTAAATGCAAAATGACTATTGTTTCAGCTTCAAGTTGACTTTTTAAAATGCATCTACCCAGTGAGTTGTCAATATACAGTATATGTGTCAGTCTAATGTGGTTTTTTGGGGCAGCAATGTGGAATAGAGCTGGGGTCTCTGACCCTGGTCCTGCAGAGCCCCAGTCCAGTCTGTCCAGGGGTCCACTGGAGAATCCAGACCACATGTATCTGAAGATTGGCAGCAGCTGTTATCAATTCAATAAGCAAGTAATCTTCCAATTCACCAAAAATTTGGTCATGGAAGATTGAAGGTTAATTCTTTTTTGATTCTTAATAATTTCTATTTAACATAATATGGCATATCACCTGCTTAAAAAATTCTTAGACTGGTTATTTAGTTTTGGTAACAAATGAATTGACAGAATTGCAATTTACGAATTCTGAATTAAGCACAAAATCGTGGACTATTGTATGGTCTTCATTTTGTCACAAAGCCATGATCTTTCCACAGGCGACAGCGAGAAAAAAGAGATGTGTTCACATGCTTGCTTATTTACAGTGTAATAGGGTCGCTTTACATCACTGGAAGTTTTGTTGCCTTGTTTTGAATTGTAGGATATAGATTCTTTATAGCCCCGAAATAGCATTACAGTTCCCCTTTAATTGGCCACACTTGACTTGTTAGAGGTCCTTAGGACTTGATGTGACTTAGTGGATGTCGAGGAGCAGAGCTGGAGGCCCCCAGATTAGAACCTAGGGCTATGAAACCCTGACCAGAGTTTCACTGCTGCTGTCCTCTTGCTGCTCCAGCAAACCCAACCAAGGTTCCTGTGTGAAGAATAAGAAATTGCATCGGTTTAAAGCAGAAGCCACATTAGTAATAATAAAAATAATAATAAGGGCGACTCAACACTGGGGCCCTGGGTTAAATTCCTGGGATGCAGTCTGTGTGTCTGTGAGTTTGTATGTTCTCCTGGTGTTTCTATGGGTTTCCTCTCAGAGCCCAAAATATACTAGTAGGTTCAGGCTTTTAGTAAAACTGGACCAGCTGAGAGTGTCTGTGTCTGTGTGTGCACTGTGATAGACCGGCGTCCCTTCTGACAGGTGTACCCCATCTTGTGTCCATTGCTTGCCAAGATAGGCTCCGACTCGCATGGAACCCTGAACTGGCAGAAATGGTTCAAAAATAGATATAATATATAATAATGATAATAATAATAGCATTTGTATGTGTGCAAAATGGTGTTCTCTGTGAAAGAAAAATGCAAATGCCTGTCTTGTTAACTTTGATCTAGGTATTTGCAACCGTGAGATATCACCATAGACATTGAAAATATGATTAGACTGTGAATGTTGACAGGAACTATGACAAAGCACCCCTCCTTCTGCTTAAATGAACTCGCAGTGGCAGTCTTGGTCGATTTGTAATTTCTAACTTCTCATGCCCCCTGAAAGACATCCAGACAAAAAACTGAGTGATTAGTCTTTTCCTGTATAAATCCATGTATAATGTAACAGCTACACCTTTGTCAAATGAAATAGTATTAATTATACTGTGTAATATTATTATTAATTATTATATGTCTGACAAAATAGTAATAGCTATAATAGCAGGCATGAATGTGTTTCAGTCTGTATTCATTTTTTGCTAATGATTTATAAAAAATGGCTTCTTTTATATTTAGTAAAAAAAACAATGAAAATAAACAACCTAAAGCCATATGAAGACTCAGTTCATCATGGGCATTAATATGCAGTAATGTGGTCATGCAAAACAGACCTTCTTACTTAGATATACTGCAAAGTATATATTCTCTCTCCACTGAAATCATACAGAAATAAAGCCTATTCATTTTGTGAATCACATTCCAGAAAAGGAGTTTAATTCTCTTTAAATTCTCTTTCAATAAATGCTCAAAGGTAAGCAGATTTTCATGAAACGGTTTGTAGAATGAGGTGTGCATATATAAAATCATTCTGAAATATGGAATTGTATCTTGTGAGAAAGAAAGAAATCTAAGCTGGTATAGCTTTAAAAAATTGAACTAGCCCAAGGACTACTGGGGTTATCCTAGCATGGTTAGCATGGTCATGTAGGTAACCTCTTACATTATATTATTTATTCCTTCCTGGTTGTAAAGCCTAACATGAGATTTTTATCGTCAAAATCGGGGAGTTTATTCAAGCACTATCACAGTTTTTCAGGTGGCATATTGGAGGTCAAGAAAACAATAGTGTGTTGTACAATTTTAACATAACATCCCTTAATTTAAGTTCTTTGCTTTTAATTACAGTATGTATCCTAACCTTCGGTTTGCCTTGTTAATTGCTCCCTCACATTGCATAATTGATGTAAATGACATGTCAATGTCAGCACCCTAGTTTTGTTTGTGAGCAGTCTCTTCTAGCTCAGCATTTCCATCTTTATATTTATAGTTTATGTTTTACTGCCTGCATTTAAAATATTTTGTGTAGATAATTAAACTTTTCCTTTAAGCATCACTCTTCCCAGGATGTATGCATTGTCTGATAGTTGAGCACTGTCTCAGAGTGCTCAAAAGGTTCTCAAAGTTGACTTATCAAGCAACATTTGAATCCTAAGGTCAAATGTTCCAGTACCCATGTTTAAGGTTCTCCTTACACCCGGTATTATGTATTAGTACAACGGTAAATATGCAAATGGTAATATAGTAGTTTACACTACTCTCACAGTTCTTGGATACTTGGGGATCACACCTTCTATGTCGAGTCTGCATGTTTTCTCAGTGGCCAGTTTTTGCCATTGTGTGTTTTATTGAGGAGGTCCAGTTGTCCTTCACAAATGTGTGTTCAAAGACATGTGTCTGTTATGTTTCTGTGTGTGCAGTCTGCATTAGACTGATGTCCCCTCCATGATGGAGACATTTTCAGACAACATTTCTCTAGAAATCTGCCTAGTCTAAGTCTAAGTCTATTTATTGTGCTTTTCTTTGTTTTTAGACGCCTTCCTCCAAACATACCTTCTAGACCAAACCCCAGATGAACAGAAGATTGGACACTCCATCTCTGAAGATCATCCCTGCATTATTATGTTGGGTTATGAAAATCAATCAAATATTAGCAGTACAATTTTCAGTTCTTTACCTTAAGAGAGCAGAAGAGTTTTCAAATCTTATGGACAAACTTCTGGCTATACAGGAAATTAATAATATGAGTAATTTGCACAATTCAGAAAAAAACATCCCTGTGACCCTGGTCCTGGAGAGCCATAATCCAGCAGTTGTTACATCATCAATTCCTAAAGATGTGATTTCCAATTGTTCGATGTACGACTTAAGGGCCATTCAGCAGCAGATGTTCCCCATTACATTTATTCCACACACTATTCAGAAGACATTTTCTTAGAATAAATATTGCAGCCCTAGAGATTTTTAATTGAATGATTGGTTTTCGACGAGCCACGAATTATATATTGTGAGAATGGAATGAACTATCGTTTGGTGGATTTTGTTTTCTAATCTAACCCTAAGTAGTAAGAATCTTTTTAAGACTATATTCCAGTTTTTTATTGATCAAATGAAGGCCTTTTTTACTTTTCTGCTGGTGAAGACAGCTGCTTTTTACATGCTGAAAACACATTGTTTATATTTCAACTCTGTGATTTCCTCAGCTAAATGATTCTAATGTAATTAGTTTGTGTTAAATGGGAACACAATTAGGTGAAGAACAGTAAAATATCTTGCTTAGAAGCCTGCATTTGCAAATTATTTTTATTTTACCAGTCATTGTGAAATGATGTAAGTGAATCTGAGGTTTAGGAGATGATAATTGTTTATTCTATTTTGAGATGTTCTTTCAAAACTGGCACAAGATGGATTTCCAAGCAATTAAATAGCTTAGAGAAAAGTTTGTAATGTAAATCTAACAGCTTTTGTACACCAACTGGTATTTTTTCTAAAAACTCTTACTTCTTATCTAGGTCATTTTTCCTCTTTGTTTTATTAATCGAAATACTATACTCGGTAGACAGCTGAGGGTATGATATTGTACACTGATTTTTTTTGTCCAAATGATTTGTCACACAAATAACTACAAATGAGTTACTGCAAATTTTGTGTTACCGGATATACCTTATAATACAACAATTAAGAACACATTTAGTTAATTTTAATGCTAAATAATTTTCATTATACATTCTCTGGATGTTTGTAAACTAGTGTTGTAATTAAGAGTCATACAATTGTTCAATTGTTTAAACTCTGCTCAGGTCACACCAGCTCAAACTAACTTTATCAAAGCTGAATTGGCATCAAAAGTTTATTCGGACACTCATGACAAACCTTCTTTTTGCTGTTGAATGTTTTCTTCTTGTATGGCTGGAGTTAAGAAACACACTGGTACGGTATCGATCTTGTAAAATAGCCTCATGCTGTCAAAGAATGAATAGAGACAATTGCAATGTACTGTAGCTCAAAATCTATATTTTAAACATTCCTGGGGAGCACAGCTAGAAATTTCATACCACGTGTTTCGTATTAAAATATGCTGGCACATTCAGTAATGTGACAAAACAGTAATTAGAATGAAATTTTCCATTATTTACACCATCACTGTACAGATATGCCTGTTGCAAGCTTGCTTTTGTACACCAAACTACGTTTACAGTTCGGCTCATTAGCTCAGGTGATCTGAACAGTACCAGGTTGTCTGTTAGAGAAGCCTGTTTAAACATGTTAAATGCCCTGGGGTCTTTATATTTGCCTGGGTTTCACTTTTTAAAAACAAAACTGCAGTGCCATTCCACTTTGTCTCTAATATTCCCTATTTTAAATGATAACTTGTAAAAAAATGAATGTAATTATTTGTTTTCAATAAAATCTTATCCTGTTACAATTAAAAAAAAAATAGTCCACAACAATTTTTAAGTGTTTATAAATTCATTTTAACGGTTTGCTTTCTGGGATCAGTGTCTGTGGATGCTGAAGGTGTGATTGGATTATTACATGTTTTAAAGGTGGTGCCAAAAATATATATTTTAGAATAATTTAAAATTTAGGTTGCACACAGTAATAATAGTAAAATAACAAAAGTAACAAATACAATTTTTCCAATTTATAATTAATCACATACACAGATAAAAACTCGATTACACCTTAGGTCAGCTTTAGAAACCATAGTACATGATTCAGTACTGTACTAAGTGGTCTTCTGTACAATATTCAATAGGCTTCACAAAGTCAGTGCAATGGATTTCTTTAGAATTCACGTGGAACCATGAATCAGGGAAAAACTATGTAACCACCACAAGCTCCTGTCCAGTCCATAAGTAGGTATAAACTACTCAACTCTGCTTTTTGAAACTTTAAGGTAGTTCTGAACTAAGAGAAGCAGAGATAATTTTATCAGCTGCTCATATGGCTGTTGTACAGGCATGAATAAGGAGGCACAATATTATATCAGAAAAGCTCCAAAGAAGTTTTGAGAGGTAGATTGCAGCCGGATAACAATTTTTTCATTCACTTTTTTCATTCACAAAAATCTGGTCCCCTTCTTTGAGATGATAGATTCCTCCCAGAAAGCTAATGTCTAACATGTCTTCTTTATCATTTCTGCAGTGGTACCTCTTGGAGCTCATGAGCTCCAGGTCTCCAGGAAACCACTGTGTTGACTTGTAAACACTGTGCTTAAAAGTTCCTTTGGCTGAGGTTTTACAATCCATTTGACCATTAAAGATTTTTGAGTAAATGAAGTAATAGCCTTCAGTCTTGATGACCAAGGAACCATCTTTGTAGTCTATCGCATGTGTGAAGGCATCTCCATTCACAGACTCCCAGAACATCTTTCCTTCTTTACTGGCATTGCAGTTACAGCCTGGAAAACAAGAAGCATCCAAACTGTTACTCTGACAATGAATCCTTTCCTAGATCTAGACCATCTGTTTACATAATGTGCTTCATAACTACGATACTGTATATCCTTTCACTAAGTGTTAAATGAACACAGCTAAAGTTTTAAAAATAAAGGTTGATCTGATTTAGATTCTAATGGTGTTGTACTTAACTAATGCTATTTTATTTTTTTCCAATATTTCCTAATCTTTTAAAGAGAGGCCTAAAAGTAATAAATGCATTATTCCTTAATTACTGCATTACAATTATTTGCTATTTGTAACTGAAATTTCTGTTTCAGAGTAAATTGACCTTAACTTTTGAGTAACTGTCAGAGTTGATCAGTGGTGCGTATAGTGTGAGCCCTCACATCTGAAGACTGCTGTACAGTTAAAACATTGCATTTTTCCTTTCACCTTTTCTTTTTAGTAGAATGAACTACTTCTTGATAGTTTGCAGCCTTTGTGTGGCTATTTTGTGAGATGTTCTAAATTTGTAGTCCTGAAATCACACTATTATAGTTTCTTATTGTATTCTTACTGTAAGAAAACCGGCTCAGGGACGCCAAATATGTAACGTTGCCATAGCAAATTAAATGTAGTGGGTCTCTGAAGGCACCAGTTCTGTAGGGTTTGGGCATTTACTGAGACAATTATTAATTGTAGCAGTAAATCACAAAGTTGATTCTTT